CGATTACTGATTTAAATTTTACTAAAGTCGTACAACATATGGATCAATGTTGATATGATTTACTTCACACATATTCCAAGTATAAACGTATATTTGTAGGGCTTCACTTAGTCGACGTCATCCGCCTCTTGTCCTTTTCTTATGGAAATGCAAAATGGGTGATGACAAAAGATTTAGGCTGAAACACGGTGCGGCGCACCCTCTTGTGAAAAAGCATTGCGGAATCACATGCGCGGGTGAATCGAAAATGAAAAAAAGTATTTAAAGATTATCTATTTCATATATTGCAGTTGAAATTTGAGTAGTGGAGTAAATGTAACATTTTTTTCATTGCAGGCTGAAATTCCATCGAAAAATATTCCCAAACAATTTTGTATCAAATCGGCAATAAACGTCACCTGTACCAGTTTAAACAAATTTTTGACAAAATTTTCTGCCTTTTCGATGTTGACATTGTTTTCTCTGCAAACAATTATCAACATTAGACAACATTTTGATATAGTCAGACCCATTCAGCAGTATTGTCATAATTGAAGTATTTTTTTGTGATATAGGGGTACCATTTTTAGATCGACGTAAGATAATTATAATCTTTATGAAACACAAAACACATTGATTTTTGAGAAACCAAATAAACAATGTTTGTTTGAGGATCGAAAATTATTTGGTAGGAGAGTATATTTTTTACGCACAAGGCTGTTTTATTTAATCTGAAAGGGAGAACCCGCAGTTTCAATGTAAAATGTCGTACTTTTCCTTTTGTAATAAAAATTACGTATTAATTGTTTACGGCTACACAACTGCACTTTGAGACAGTGGAAAAATGTTCACACGTATGTTGAATCGTTATATTTATATTTACATGGATCACCGGTTTCCTTATCACGGTGTCAATCAGTAGATTAGACTTATTGAAAAAAAAAAAAACTTAGAAAGAATTAGTTTAGTGGGAATATATGAATTTTATATATCGCCTTTCTTATTTAAAGACATATTTCACAATGGGACAATATTGTACTTTCTGAAAACATAAAATATTTTGATAAAGAAATTCATAAATACTTCTTACAGTTAGTTATCTACGTTTGACCGAACAATTGTTACTATGTTTTGGAAAATGTGTCCATATTTTAATTGCTCGTATACCCGACAACAGTATGTGTTGGGGGCATTATCAAGCGATTTTGCATGGAGGGTGGGGTTCAGATCAGAATAGAAGCCTATTGTTGAGGAAGATGATCGTAATGCACCAAAAAAAAATCTTGATTTTCTAGTTGCTCTAGAGATCACAATTATAAACCAATCGACTTGGAATTTTGATTGTGGCTAAAGTTTAGGGCTGGGCAGAAGCCTATCAATTTGGATGGTCACCGAATAGCTGTTCAAATAGACCATAACCATATAACAAATACGGACATTTCTATTAAACCGCGAATATTTCTAATTCCATCGAACTTACATTGATGCTGATATGCGAGATATCGCATATATAGCAACATGTATACATCTCATGTATCAAAAAGGGGTATGTTAGTTAGACCGTTTATAACTCAAGAATGGCTGGACGGACATTCAGAATGTCCTTTTGGCAGAAAGAAATAAAATCTAGAAAAATCGCATATAAAGATGCAAATGAAAATGTGAATAATTTAAATATACCCCAAATTTCGTATGAAAAAAAAAAAACAAAATTATCAAAATCACAAAGACATAATTGTGAACTGTGGTGAATTTTTGTTCTAGGCAAAACGGTTTCCGATATGCAGAAACTTTACCGCAAATCGTAGTGTTGTAGGGTATCAAATGGTTTTAACAAAAATGTCAACAAAATTTAAATTTGGTATTTGTGACTCCCAATAGGTTAGCTTTAAGAAATCACCGTTGCCTTAAGATATCTACTCAACTCGGAAACCTGTTAGTCCATTGTGTTTATCCATAAAGGAAGAAGGAAAAGAGAAATGGGTTTGTAATTAAATACGAGATATTATCGAACCTTTTTTAACCACTTTAATCTTATGGCTAGGAAGAATAACTACTATATCTGTGTCAGAATATGAAAACAGATCGTAGATAATTTGCCCCCATAAGCCTATGTATAGCGCCGAAGACAAATTCAATTCTAATTTTGAATCAATATGTGGCGTTGGGTTTGCATGCCGTTTACAATTACAATACCCGTGATTGCTGTCAGTATGGTGCTGACACTGCGTACCTACTTCTATCTTTAAGTCACGAACAACAACAACAACAATTAATAACAATATCTTAGATGCATTAGTGCAACAAATCTTATTTAATTCCACATATAAGGCCTAGTGCTGGAAACAATTGTCAACAAATTATTGTTTGCTTTTCTCGCCATACAAAACGTTCACAAGAACGACTGACGGAAATATTTCTGTTTTGTGACGGTTCGTTGGTGGGCAGATAGCGAGGGTTGTATTCCACTGTTTTTGTTTAAAGAGTGTTTTGTCTAATTCGCGCAGTATTTAATTCTCTTGTAATTGCTGATTACGCTAATATCAGAACAACGTATCAGTACTTCTTTTGGTGTTTGCAAAAAGATTTTGTAGATTTCCGCAATCGATTTGCTTTTTTTCCTCCATAGAAAATATTTCTTATTTACGTTCTATGAAAATTTGCAAGAATGTAATGTTTGGTCTGTTGAAACTCGTTATAAGATACTATTATCAATTAAATATATTCAATTTCTAAATTAAAATAGATGTTTATGACAGGTAAGCGGACACAACATTCCTACAAACATTTCTTGAATGTGTTCTTTCAGGCTTCTTCTCAAAAAAGTACCAAAAAGGAGCTAATTGGTACGGTACTGTTATTAAATCGTTCTGTAATCGGATTTTATGAAAATGTTGGTTCTTTAAGTGAAAATTCTTATATAGTTAAATTACTTATGGGGAGAAGAAGTACAAGTAGTAGTTACCACTGTTATTAGAAAACCGCTAATTTAGAAACCTGTTCGAAAGCCTAAAGATGAAAGACGTTGGAAATACAGGGTGAAATGAAAAACTGCAACCAACTTCAGACTACTGTCATTTCTAACCCACTCGTCTGACAGCTGTTAAAATTATTCCAGTGACAGCTCATTATATTGTTTACAAGCGTACAAAAGCATTTTGGGGAGAATTTTCAGAAAAAAACTTATTCGTGATGGAATTCAAGAGTAATAGTGTGATTTCTTTATATTTGACTGTAAAACCAATAGAGCACTCCAGCATTCAAATATGAATAAATCTTTTGTGTCTCGTACATCGCTCGTTACCGTGATACTGGTAGATTAGCCCAACGTCAAGAAAGTGAATGGATGGAATGCTCGTATTAATCGACCGTGGCATCAGAATAAATGTCGAATATTATGGCGAAAATATTCTGGAGGGTGTATTAAAGCCTTGGACACGCAAACATTTTGGCCGCAGACCTTGGACATTCCAACAGGACTCAGCACCATCGCACTCAGCCACCCAAGTCATCGCCACCCAAGAATGGTTACAAAATGAGGTTCCTCGCTTCATTTCCAGCGCTAATGGCCACCAAAATTTCCGGATACTAATCCTTGGACTATTGTGTCTTTAGTATTTTGGAAAACAAGGTTGGCACCAAAAAATACCAAAGTGTCGATCACCAGCGTGTGACGGTTACATTGGCCGTTTGAAGGCCATAATTAGTGCCAAAGGTGACCAATTCGAACAAATCTAAACTTATTCTAAAATTTGATGTTGTTTCCGAAATTTTTTACTTTCATTCAATAAAATTTTAAAAGAAAAGTAAAAATTATGGTTTTTGACTTTGTTGCAATTTTTTTATCTCACCCTGTATAATTCATATGGTGATTTCTAATGACTGGCTCTTGCTACTATAATATACTACTGTAATAATCTTCGTTTTTTGAGAGGATTTTTTGTTTCATAAAGTGCCTGAAAACGCTAAGACTTTTTTAAATATCGCATAATGCCAAAAGATTTATTATATCTTTGACCAACAATTTTGAATAGTCAATGATGAAATATCGTTGCTATTAGTCATAGCTGCTTTTTACCTGATCAATTCACATTATAAACCGGTAAAGAAAGTCCTAAAGTCGGGCGGGCCGACTTTATGATACCCAACACCACTTTGCTAATTTAGTAGAGCACCGCATAACAATTAAAAGTTTTCATAGGTGAATTCAATCATACACGCTATGATTATAATTGTAATTTAAAGTTCAAAGAACTAAATATGCCGGAGCATTGGTATCTTTTAAATTCTGACTTTTATTGCCCATTTGGTGCACAATTAATTTGAAATCGCATAAAGATATATACGGGAGCTATATCCAAATCTGAACCGCTCTCGATAAAATTTGGCTAAGATATTTCTGAGCTGTATTTGATATATTTCCCTGAATATCGTTGTTACAGAGTGCATATTACGGCTGCGGAGGACAAAAATAACAAATCGGGTGAACAATATATATGGGAGCTATAGCTATATCTGAACCGATTTCGATCAAATGTAGCATACTTATTTTCAGGCCTAATTTGGTTGTATGTGCAAAATTCCATACTATTTGACCTGATATTGCACGTTTAGTGCAGAATAAAAGGCAAATCGGACGAAGATATATATGGGAGCTATATCTAAATTTTTACCGATTATCTCCAATTTCAATAGGGTTCGTCCTTGGGCCAAACAAATTATTTGTGCAAAATTTCAACTCAATCGGATAATAAATGCGACCTGCATTTTGTTCACAAGAATATATGGACAGACGGACGGACGGACGGACGGACGGACAGACGGACTGACATGCATAAATCAACTCAGAAAGTGATTCTATGGAGATCCTCAAAAGTAACTATGGGTCTATCTCGCTTCCTTCTCCATGTTACCAACAAATGCACAAATACATAATACCCTTACCACTATGTGGTGTAGGGTATAAAAACAGACAGTCTGGCCCACTTGGATTCGAATAATTTCCCATTTGATTTTTTCAGTATCTGCTGTTGATGCTTTCAGTTTCGTCGATGAAATGCGACAGGCTGCACAAAATGCTCAAAACATAAATAATTTCATATACGAGCCAACATCAGGATTATACTATGACCAAAAGTCAGGTTATTACTACAATGCGGTAACGTATATACCTTTTTTTGAAACACTTCAGAACTTACTACATAGTGTGTCTTACATTATTCTAGGAATATGGTCTCTATTACGACGGAAACACCGGTTGTTATTATAGCTTTAATCAACAAAAGAACTGCTACGAATTTCATTCGCAGGTTCAAGTGCAGGCTTCTAAAACAACAAATGTGAGTATTGTCGGGCGATGATTTAAAATTAAGTAGAAACTACCAACAACACAAAATCACAACAAAATCAGCGTAAATTACTCTGTTCTTTTTAGTTTGTTTTGAAAATAAATAATTTCATTTTCCATTTTATCTCCTAGCAATTAAATTATCAAATAGTTAATAGAAATAATGTTTCAAATTTACTCTTTACCTTTTCCATGAATCTACCCAATTTTTAGGACACCAATAACGATGCCTACCTAGAGAAACACGTAAATAATTCGTTTTTAGATCGTTTTTCAAACCTTTATATAGACCGAATGCGTAAAAATGCATTAGGTAAGAGCTAAAGACCAGAATGTTCGATGAAAACGCGGATTTCTTTTCTACTGTTGCAGGAAAATCAGGCTGATGATGATATTGACGAAGTGGTTTTCGACGAATTTGGCGTTGTAACAGACCGGGAGAAATTAAAAAAACTTCGAGAAGAAAAGGAACGCACGGAAAAATCTAGAAAACACAAAAAGAAATCCACAAAGGATGAGGATAAGGAAGGCAAACATCCGAAAAAACATAAAACATCGCATAAAAGCCGAAAACGTTCGAAACGGGACTCGGCGGAGCCCCATAGTGATTCGGATGGTAAAAAGGGCAAGAAATCTAGGACAACTCCCAAAGATATGGAAGATGGTGAATTATCATCGAATTCAAGTAGTTCTTCTGCCTCATCTCAAAGTGATTCTGAGGAAGATGAAAGGCAAAAAGTAAAAATATTTAAAAGCGCTGGAAGGTTTCAAGGTAGGATGAACATATTTTTATGAAAAGAAGTTCGCGTTTTCCCTGTCGATTTTATAAGTGTAGATTAAGATGACAATTTCTATACTTTAACAGACATTGCCAAAAAATATCCGCCATCATTGCGCATTATTGTGCAAGAGTCCAATTTAGAGGGACTAAAGGTTGGAAGTCTAAGTTTAATAACATACAAAGGTGGCAGTCTTGGACGCGAAGGCAATCATGATGTTATAATACCGGATGTAAATGTTTCGAAGGTAATAGCTCTTCTTTAAACTCAACACTGCGATATGATATGTTTTTATATCTCACACAACTATTAAAACAAAAAATATAAAATATCAGTAACCAACTCTATGCATTTATATTCGTCTGTAGTTCCACCTAAAATTTACGTACGAACACAAAAAAGGAATCTACAAGTGTGTAGATTTGGGCTCGCGAAATGGTACCATATTGAATGGTATACGTATGTCGGCCTCGAAGACTGAAAGTGAGTCGCATGACTTGGTCCATGGCAGTGTACTACAGATTGGACAAACCAAGCTGCTGTGTCACATACATGAGGGCAACAGTACATGTGGGCTATGTGAGCCAGGTTTGTTGATAGAAGCAACTCGTGAGGTCTCAGCGGGTCCAACACTCTCACACAAGGAACAACTGAAAAAACTACAAAGAAAATATGGCTTGGAGAATGAAAGTTTGTATTATTTGACGTGTTTTCAGAATGAGCAAATTAATTTAAAAATATAACTTGTCTATAGAATTCACAGAGGGCCAACAGAATGCAAGCAGCAGCAGCTATCAAGATAGGGCTGCCACGAGACGTTTAAATGTTGGTAGCAGCTCTGATAAAGAAAAAACACAAACAGCTTCTGTGGACACGTAAGCTTTGTCAAAAGTAAATGTTTTCGTTGCAAAATTGTATTTCTGTTGTTTTTTTTTAATCTTTATTGCAGGGCAATTTCTAGTGAAAACAAAGGATTCAAAATGCTATCGAAATTGGGTTGGAATAAAGGTGAAACCTTAGGAAAATCTCAGGCTGGTGGTCTTCTAGAACCGGTAAGATCGTATAAACAGAATCTTAACTCTGAATTTAATACAATTAATTTGTTTTTAGATAAACGTTGAAGCGAATGCTGGCACTAAAGGATTGGGCTGTGATGATCCGACAGCTGGTATATCCTTGAACTCGTCGGCTAAGAAAAAATTTGAGCTAATGCAAAAGACAAAGGAGCGGTATCAAAAAGCTGATATTTTTAGTATTAGCGATGATAGTAACTAATTACAAAATAATTATTTATTTGTATTGAATTTGAGTATCAATAATAAATAAAATGCTTAAAATAAATATTGGACATATTCTCGGGCTCGGTGGTCCATCTAATCTAGAGTTCTGCGTGAATGTTTAACAAGTAAAAAAGCAGCTAAGCAGCCATTTGGAACAAAATTCCGTCGGAAAATACAGCTCAAATGAAAACCGTTATATGGTGCTTTACGAAGACGTGGTGATGCATAAGTAATTTGTGTCATAGGATGTTTAGCTGTTCCGAACATATAAAATTTCGGCGAATAACGTTGTAAAAATCATCAAAAACCGAATATTCTCCTCCAGAAGGTAATGTACTCACAAAGAACTCCTTATGTAGAATTTCAAACAATTCAATTGAAAAATGTGGCTAAAATTATCAAAATACCGAATATCGGGGGGTACCGTTATATGGGGGCTATACGATATCGTTGATCGATATAGATAATTCTCTTGCGTATGGGGGCTATACGATATCGTTGATCGATATAGATAATTCTCTTGCGTGATTACAACAGACGGACGGACAGGGTTAAATCGTCTTCCGTTGAAAAATGTGGCTAAAAACATCAAAATACCGAATAACGGGGGTACCGTTATATGGGGTATATACTACATCGTGGACCTATACATCTTTTAGGGGCTAAAGTAGTCACAAAGAACTCCTTATGTAGAATTTCAGACAATTCCATTGAAAAATGTGGCTAAAATCATCAACATACCGAATATCGGGGGGTACCGTTATATGGGGGCTACACGATATCGTTGACCGATGTAGATAATTCTCTTCTTCTATTTGTGCGGATTTTTAGACAATTCTGTTTAAAAATGTGGCTAAAATCATCAAAATACCGAATAACGGGGGTACTGTTATATGGGGGATATACCCCATCGTGGACCTATATAGACATTTTTCTTTAGGAATAAAGTACTTAGAAAGAACTCCATGTGTAGAATTTCAAATAATTTCATTGAAAATAGTGGCTAAAATCATCCAAATACCGAACGGTACCCCCGTAGGGCCATACTATATATAGATAGATACGCTGATCAAGAATATACATATATACTTTGTTGGGTCTAAAATTATTATTTCGATGAGTTACAAACGGAATGACGAACTTAATATACCCTCCATACTATGTATGATGGAGGGTATAAAAAGGGGCATATTTATACCTGTCCCAGAAAGAAATGTCCAACCTACAAAAATCAAACGAAGTTATCATAAGAATATAAAGATAAGATATAAATCTTTTAATGAACAGATACAGCGTTTCGGATAGGTCAGGCGCAGGACACCTGGCGTCATGCTAACAACTCAGGATACTTCAATTCTATTTCTCCAATTGCAGTACACGTATGTGGCTTAAGCGTACCACTTAAAATTTCTGTCGAATGATGTATTTATTGGCAAGTTTGTTTGCAAACTAAATAATATCATGTATTCAGAAATGTTTAGAATACAAGAATGTCTACAAGGTACCCAAAATATAATTTGCTTTGGAAAAGAATCTCAATCATTCGGCGGTGTGTTGTCGTAGGCACCATGTCGGTCTAAAAAGACCTTTCGTATGTGTTTATATGGTTTGCAACGTTGAAGCAATGCTATATTACAGGGAGAAATGAAAAAAACAATTTCAGGCTGCTGTCATTCCCAAGCCACTCGTCCGACAGCTGTTAAAATTATTCCAGTGACAGCTCATTATATTGTTTACAAGCGTACAAAAGCATTTTGGTGAGAATTTTTCAGAAAAAAGTTATTCGTGATGGAATTCAAGCGTGATAGTGTGATTTCTTTATATTTGGCTGGAAAACCACAAGTGGCTACCGTTAGAGCACTCCAGTATTTCAATGTGAATAAATCTTTTGTGCCTCGTACCATCGCTCGTTACCTTGATACAGGTAGCCTAGCCCGGACGGTAGAATACGGAAACATCAGCAGAAATGGTTCGAAAGTACAGAAGGGACTTGATCGAAACCCACGTCGCAGTGTCCGGAAAATGGCTCGTGAGTGAACATATCGCAATATTCCATTCGGCAAATATTGATGCAATAAAATGCAGTTTTGATGCAGTTTTTTTTTATCTCACCCTGTATTTTTGTATATGAGAAGAAGTGGACCACTAAAAACGACTTGGCCTTAAACCTCGTAAATACTGTTTACTCTGGGTTCATAGTTTACACAAATTTCCAATATATTAGTATCTTGTAAGTCCAGTTTATTTTGGTATTTAGTGGAAGATGCAGCCTAATAATAGGTATGAGAATGTAAAGGGGATGAATAGTTTTGATAGCTTCATCAAATAGGTAAGAACATTTCCCTGCAATAGAGAGCCAGAATTTTTTGCGAATACATTTTTTTGTGATAAATCAATGATTTTTATACCCTACACCACAAGGTGGTCATTATACCCTACACCACAAGGTGGTCAGGGTATTATGTCTTTGTGCATTTGTTTGTAACAGGCAGAAGGAAACGAGATAGACCCATAGTTCCTTTTGATGATCTGCATAGAATCACTTTCTGAGTTGATTTATGCACGTCAGTCCGTCTGTGTCAAAATGCAGGTCGCATTTATTATCCGATTGAGATGAAATTTTGCAAACAACATTTGTTTGGCCCAAGGACGAACCCTATTGAAATTGGAGATAATCGGTAAAAATTTAGATATAGCTTCCATATATATCTTCGTCCGATTTGCCTTTTATTGTGCACCAAACGTGTAATATCAGCCCGAATAGTATACGCATACAACCAAATTAAGCCTGAAAATAAGTATGCTACATTTGATCGAAATCGGTTTAGATATAGCTATAGCTCCCATATATATTGTTCATCCGATTTGTTATTTTTGTCCTCCGCAGCCGTAATATGCACTCTGAAACAACAATATTTTGGGGAAATATATCAAATGCAGCTCAGAAATACCTTTGCTAAATTTTATCGAGATCGGTTCAGATTTGGATATAGCTCCCATATATAACTTCGTCCAATTTACCTTTTATTGTGCACCAAACGTCTAATATTTGTCCAAATGGGATGGAATTTGGCACATACGACCGAATTTAGTCTAGAAGGTAGTATGCCAAATGGTGAATATCGGTTCAGATATAGTTATAGCTCCCATATATATTGTTCATCCGATTTATTGTATTTGTTACCCACAGCCGTAATATGCACTCCGTTACAAATTAATTTAATTTCAAATTAATTTCGCACCAAATGGGCAATACAAGTCCGAATTTAAAAGATACAAATTCTTCGGCATATTTATTCCTTTGAATTTTAAATTATAATTATAATCATAGCGTGTATGATTGAATTCTCCCATAAAAACTTTTAATTATGAAGTGGAGCTCAACTAAATTAGCAAAGTGGTGTAGGGTATCATAAAATCGGCCCCGCCCGACTTTAAGACTTTCTTTACTGGTTTCACTTGCTTTTGTCGACATATCATTTGGTAGATGGTTGGTGCTGATATTCGGAACTTTTATGATTTCATTTATTAATTTATTTCATTTAATGCAATTTTAACCCCAATGGCCGATAACAATTAAATTGGAAATAAAACAACTCATTGTATTTTAACAAATCGATAAAATGAAAATAATAAAACTAGTTATTATTAAGTTTAAACTGTCACAGTTTCTTTTCTTGCAAAAGTAAGGAACAACTCCAATTATTAATCTCAAGAAAGGAAATATTAATTTCAAGAACTCTTAATTCTAATAATTTAAAATAACATACAGATAATACTTTCGATGTTAATGCGGATTTGACAACTACTTTCCAATAAAAATAGATGAGGTTGTTATGATAAGAAATTATACTTGATCGTTTTGAGTCCAGACGGAGAGCTACTCCAAAAGTGGATAATATGCGATATGATTTATTCCTATTCCTAATTTATCCACACATAATCAATTATTGCCATTAAAACCCACTTTTCTATCCACTTATTTTAATTAATACACAGTGATCCAACAACTGTAAATCAAATCTAAATATAACCCATCAGATATGGAAGGGTTTAGGGAAAATAGTAAAAGTTCCACTGAAAATTAAAATGCTAGCATATACATTTGTATCAGGGATGTAAAAGTTCAAATTTGCAAGTTTTTCTTAAAATCGAGAATTGTTTAATTGGGGGCGGAAGTAAATTTCAAATTATTTCCTTCATATTCTCCACAGTTGTGCCACAGTATACCTCAATACAATATTGAATGTGTGACATAATTAATGAGTTTTTATACTAAGTAGTAAAACTATGTCGGTGTTATATATCTGACGTAATATGAAATGTGTATGTAATAAAATATGGCCAATATGAAGATAGAATGAGAATTTAGCTTCGATCACCATCCCCAAACATTTGATGCTATTCACAACATCAATTGTCTGACTGTTATAAGACAAATCTTGGGTATGCTTCACTGAGTCAATAGAAAGCGGCAACGACGTCGCCAGATTCCGTAAAGTCCTTGCGAAGGATCCTAAATCCATAGGAAATATAAAGCCGACTGGGGGTTAGTGGACTGTCTCCGGAATAGAGATTCTTAATCTTATAGCCAGCACTCACTTCCCTAACTATACTGACGCGGTAATTAATCGGCAAACCGATTAAGCGTATCCTAACTATTCGGCTGGGAACCTAAATCTGTCCGACAGAATTGTAAGCATATCTAAAATTAGGTGGGACATTGACACATTCAAGCCTTTGAAATCGCCCGGGACAGATGGCATCATTCACGCCATGATTCAGTATGTCTCGGCGTCAATATCTCCAATTCTGGGGCAATTCAAAGCTTGTCTGTGTCTATTCTCCATCCCGGTACTATGGAGGGAAGTTATGGTTGCTTACATCCCAAAAGCGGGAAAACCAAGTCACTCACTTCCTAAGGATTACAGACCTTCCTATTGAAAACATTAGAAAGGCTGATTGACATTGAAATCAGATCTCTACTACCCACGACTGTCATCAGCATTGCTCAACATGCCTACATGAAAGGTAAATCCTTTTGAAACAGCGCAGCACGAT